TTCAAATTGTTAGTCTAAGTTGGACCTCACTCTGCAGAGGGTACCTAAAGATAGGCGTAAGACATCATCGAAGCAAGCGAGTTATTAATAACTAGCTGGCTTACCCGGCTCCGCCGTATCCGGACCAAACTTGGCACACATACACTTCGGGCCCCGGCGGGTGTCACAGTCCACTTTTCGTTATCGATCGATGTCGATTTTACCGATTTTTATCGAGTTTTTGGCAGAGTTCACCTACAGGGCTAGGAGTTGGCACAGGGGGGAAGTGAGCATGGGGATTCCGAATACAATATTAGTTTTCAGAATTATCGATTGCTTTTATTGATTTTATCGATTTTTTGTAAATTTTGACATGCGAGGCTGGGATTTTGCACAGGGGGGTAATCGAGCATGCTGATCACGAACACAATATTAGTTTTCAGGATCGTCCATTACTTTTATCGATTTTATCGATTTTTTGCAAAGTTTGACCTGTGGGGCTGGGAGTTTGCACAGAGGGTAATCGAGCATGCAGATTACGAATACAATATTAGTTTTCAAGATCGTCCATTACTTTTATCGATTTTATCGATTTTTTGAAAATTTGAGCTAGGGGGCTGGAATTTGGCACAGGGGTGTTCGAGCATGCTGATCACCCCCCTTGGGGATGATCAGCATGCTCGATTACCCCCCTGTGCCAACTCCCAGCCCCGTAGCTCAAACTTTGCAAAAAAATCGATAAAATCGATAAAAGTAATCGATAATCCTGAAAACCAATATTGTATTCGGAATCCCCATGCTCGATTACCCCCCTGTGCGAACTCCCAGCCCCGTAGCTCAAACTTTGCAAAAAAATCGATAAAATCGATAAAAGTAACCGATAATCCTGAAAACCAATATTGTATTCGGAATCCCCATGCTCGATTACCCCCCTGTGCCAACTCCCAGCCCCGTAGCTCAAACTTTGCAAAAAAATCGATAAAATCGATAAAAGTAATCGATAATCCTGAAAACCAATATTGTATTCGGAATCCCCATGCTCGATTACCCCCCTGTGCCAACTCCCAGCCCCGTAGGTGAACTCAGCAAAAAAATCGATAAAAATCGATAAAATCGATATCGATCGATGACGAAAAGTAGCCTATGACACCCGCCGGGGCCCGTAGTGTATGTGTGCCAAGTTTGGTCCGGATCGGTTCAGAAATGGAATTTTCTATTCGGAACATACGTACATACATACAGACATACAGACATACATACAGACATACATACAGACAAACAGACATTCAGCTTTATATATAAGATGACAGTGTGCACATTTTTGGGACATCCTGTATAAGCCGCACCTGCCGCAGCAAACAATGGTCCTTTTCAAAGAGTGCTTCAAAATCTAGCAAACTGATGATTCAGTGTGAGTTTTTATGCGTTTTTCTCCCAACAACACTATATAAAATTAATGGTACTTCCTTTTGCTTTTGATGATGTTCCTAGTGGTGAAGCTGTGCCTTTCGATTCTAATGATATGCTCGTTCAACGGTACTTCCAATGTTCTGCAGATTTCTGGAGAATATTTGACAGGATAGAGATCTTCAATCTGAGTAGGTCACAACTGACAAGGGATACGTATGGACTCCAAGTGATCTTTCCAACGAAATCAATATATTAGGGTGTCTCATAATTTTTTACCATTTTTACTACAACCGCCGCATTTTTGCATCTTTCCTTCATCTGATGTGGGTTGAGTAATCCATTCGTCAGGGCAAAGCAAACTCTACAAGATGGATAAAAAGTCTGCCCAAATCGTATCCCACGTGAAGTTTTGAGCTGGAATCTAATAGTAGTCGAAAAAAACGAACTTTTCTGTCAAAAATCGTATCTGCGTTTCAAATCATCTAAAAAATTCCCCATTTCTCCTAGCATATGGTTGATACATCGCGTATTCAATTGTACACTTCCCGAATTTTTTCCATGGCTAGAAATAAAGAAAAAAATGAGTGAGATAAAATGGCAAACTGTGTCGCTAGACTTCCTAAGCTCCTCTCACGCATTTGATCATATTGTCCATACATACAGAAGTACAGTCATGTATTTGTATACTTTGTAGGTGTCTCTCGCTTCTAGAGAAATGCTAATGTTTGAGTAAAAACGGCAAAAAAATTATGAGACAACTTAATAGGTTTGTACGGCCTGACTCGCAATTTACAAAACAGTTCCATATCAGGCAAGCGCTCCTTTGGGTGGAAGGCAGTGTCCAAGACAAAGGCTCCCACTAAGTGAAAAAATAGTAGGCTGCGTTTTGTTTTCATCGCGCCAGCTTCTGCACGCGATGAAAAACAAACGCGACTTATAAACCGAAAAATAGGTATTAACGCTGAGCCTTAGATTATTATCGACCATCAGATATGCATACTCGGTAAGCATATTTGTATGAGGCTAGAAGACATTCAATAACGATGTGAAACTACATTACCTTGACATTGAAACAGATCAGGCCAACTTTTCATTTGTGCGCACGCTATCATATCATTTTCAATTTCATGAGCTAAACTTTTAGCTGAACAGACGCTTCTACTGTAGTTTTTTGACTAATTTCGTGCACCAAGCCATCTTTTCAAAACTTTCGAAGGTGTAAGCCCGAAGTGCGATGTTGAAGCTCTCCCTTGTTTCGATAATCGAGAGTTTGAGGTGTAATTTTTTCGTGAAGCTCCTCTGTGGGGAAGTTGACTCTTCTACCTTTCGCGCAAGACTTGAGAGTTCAAAGCACTGAATGTCGCTCTTTACATGACAAAACGACCACTCTATCACTGCATCCATATTACAGCGAGGGCTATCTCCGAACAGTGAGAATGGAAGACTCAAAAAATGCTGAGCAGTTGCGTTTCTGTTTGATGTTTCTTTGTCTGAAACAAACTCATAAATTAAGGCATCACTGATCAGAACACCACGAGTAATTTCAAACTAATGCTCATTATTTGTCGTCATCACTTGTAAATGTGTTCATCCAATTTTCTTGTTTTCTTTTTGCTAAATGTCCTTTCAAAGACACTTCAAACGCTTGTTTTTCTTTTTTTTTTACTAGCCTTCAACTAGAATTTGGGCAAATACGATTCTCTCTAAATGAAAAGATGTGATATATATAAGCCCCTTGCGAAAGGAGTGTGCTAGACTTCAAGCGCTTCCGATTTCGTCTCAATGGCGTCTTACAAGCTCATTTTGATAACTCTGCTCGCTCTCATGTTTATCTGCAGCACGTCTGGTATGTTGCTAACATTACTTTGCCAGTGCTCTTGATAAACGCACCTTTCAACAGTGCAAGCAATGAGGCGCTATGGAGGAAGGATAAACCATCGTCCAGGACCTCACCGTCCAGGACCTCATCGTCCAGGACCTCATCGTCCAGGACCAGGACATCATCCAGGGCGTGGACGCGGGCATGGACGCGGCCGCTTTCATCGTTTCTAAGTCAAGCATCTAATCTTGGGAACACACCGGAATTTGTTGTATAAGCTTTATATGAATAAAGGCAAATTCCTATCAAAAAGTGCATAATTTGTAGCAATTTTACATCTGCATGTATGTACCCCTGTGTCCTAATGCAGAAAAGTCTCACTTTATTAGGTGTAAACCAGCGTAAACGTCCAGGACGCGGTCACCGTTTCTAATCAGGTGATCAAGGTACACCTACTAGCAGTTTAGTTGTACGAGCTTTCTTCAAATAAAGGCAAGTTATTACCTTGAAGAGAAAAAGCTGTTTATATAAGTAAGCTATTACATATATTTATGCATCGAGTAATCTTCACTTAACCTTTGATTCAACTGGCTTGGCGGCTGGAAGGCGGGGTTTTGTGACCTAATTAAGGGCCCTCGCGCCCGCGACGTAGTCTGAGCCTCCTCGCGCGCATGCTCTCTGATCATTACCCAGCCTTAATTAGGTCATAAATCCAGCCTTCCAGCCGCCAGCCAGTTAAATCAAAGGTTAGGTGAAGTGTATCCGCCGTATAAACATATGTAACAGGTTAATTATATAAACAGCTTTCTCTCTCTAAGTTACGCAGAGAGCTAACTTTGTTAGTAGCTAGCTTTGTTTTTGCTTTAGCTAGCTTTGTTCCGGATTCACAATGCAAACAAGCCTCTGTTCATTACTATAAGATTAGGACATAGACACTCAAAGGTACCGTCCATCAAAATGAGGTTGACAAATTTTGATGCTCCATGTTAGGCTAGACGGAAGAAAATAGCACGGCTTGATTTTTATTACATTCCGAGTTTTGACTCATCCGATTCTAGCTACGCCTCATCGCTCCTCTCCCAGCACTCTTGGCGTAGCGAATCTGAAAATTGGACAGGGTTTTTTGGACATCTAGTCTTGCGCTCTATACCGTAAACTTATGACGCAAATGACAAAACATCTGGGCATCGGGCATTCGAAAGTTTCTTATTTTTTGAGTATAAAAAGCAAAATTACGTTTCTTGTGGCACATCATAAGCGCGTAGTAATAAAAAGAATTAATAAATCTAATAAAGCTGGGAGGATTTTCAGGAGCTCTGAAAGCAAAAGAAGAAACGGCGTAATTGTTCTTGTTCTTTCAAACGATCAATAAGCCAAGAATATCAAAAAATCGATTTAAACTAGGTTTGCTTAATGCTAGTTTATACTTCTGGATAGAATCACTATTCGCGACAATGCCATAAGCTGTGCACGCTAACAAGTTTTTGCAGGTGAGTAGTAGCCTTTTCTTTACTCAAAAAATGTCAGAAAATTTTCCTTTTGGTAACTTTTCGATACTTCAATCATTTATGCTAAGCAGGTGATGTCTTTTGTTTCACATGTTCAGCGGTTCGCGAGCAAGGAACGACGCAGTCGTATCTTGTCGCATTTGAAATCTGCATCAACTTTTGCCCGTGAGCAATCGATGAAAAAGTTCAAATTACCATTGGTCGTGGTAGTATTACAATTTGTCTTTATTCATACAATGCTCATACAACAATTTCCAGTAGGCTTCCAAGATTGGATGCTTTACTTAGAAACGATGAAAGCGCCCGCGTCCATGCCCGCGTCCACGCCCTGGATGATGTCCTGGTCCTGGACGATGAGGTCCTGGACGATGAGGTCCTGGACGGTGAGGTCCTGGACGATGGTTTATCCTTCCTCCATGGCGCCTCATTGCTTGCACTGTTGAAAGGTGCGTTTATCAAGAGCACTGGCAAAGTAATGTTAGCAACTTACCAGACGTGCTGCAGATAAACATGAGAGCGAGCAGAGTTATCAAAATGAGCTTGTAAGACGCCATTGACAAGAAATCGAAGACGTTTGAATTCTGGCACACAGATTTTTCGCCGGGACTTATATATGCATCTTCTCATCTGGGAAAACTTCATATTTGCCCAATTCCAGTCAAACACGTAATGAATAAAAACAAGTGTACGAAGTCTGATTCTTTGAAAAATTCAGCAAAAAGAACGAAAACAAGAAAGTTGAATGGTCGTAAATGGATGACGATTGCTATGACACTCACAACAAAACAGGAGACCATTACTTTGTAATTCACTTTGTTCCGATTACTGATGCGTCACTACATGAGCGCCTGTAAACGAGCAGGAAACTTTGGTCAAAATCTTAATCCAGCTTTTTTTCTGATCTTTGCTTGAAGCAAAGATGCTGTTACATGGATGCATTGAGGCATGATCAATCCGTCGTAAAGGAGTGAGTTGCATCGCCGTTGTTGTCGTAAGCGTGGGTATATATGAGTGTTGCAGTTACAGGCTTACGGTGCATAATTGATGTTTGAGTATAATCACACCTCATTCCTTTGTGAAGCTTTGATAACTCTAGAGCTTCTGGGACCTGGAAGAATGTTCAAAATTGCATGAATATCAATATTACGACTAAACTTCTGCTTAACAGAAATGCTCACGATCAGAAAATTTGAGGAGCTGGGTGGTTCCGTACACAAGTAGACACATTCCTGGATTCAGCTGCACCGCCGTCGCTGGAGTTTACCTAAACTTGAATGTGTTCTATTGAAAATCTTATAACTTAAGACAGTAGACAAGCACTGCTTCCTTGAAGGCAGCGGTTTGGGAAAATTGCAACTGCGCGCTTTCTGTTCCTCCTTGGCCTTCTGGATACGTTTAGACCAGACCTATGCCTGAAAAGTCAAACAAGTGACTTTCTCTGGCCTTGGAATTGCTGAGGAAGTTGGAGCGGAGATTTTCGCAGCCGAGTCGCGATTGGCTGCCTGGGCCAATCAGCCAATTGCCGCCAAAATGAGTGGTATTACAGTCTCCTGCAGCCAGTCACTTTTTGGCGGGAATCTCCGCTCTAGCCTCCTAAGCAATCTCCAAGGCTGGAAGACGCCATAAAAACCACTTTTTTGACTTTTCAGGCACAGCTGTGGTCTAAACGCATCCAGAAGGCCAAGGAGGAACACGCAGTTGCAATTTTTCGACCCACTGCCTTCAATGGTTGATATAGGCTCATGAGACCTTACAATGTCATTCAGGAGTGGAACAAACCATCACAAAGAGAAGTTTTTTTATGAGAGGATGTGGTCGAAGTATTGGCGATTGACTGCACATGTTATATGGTGAAAGGTTCTCAAAGCAAAAGCGGATTTGGCTTTTCGTAGACCCTGTGTTGTCATGCCCTGTTTGACTACTGCAGCTGACTTTGGCATTGCTACTGAAAATTGCAAAGTCTTGTCGGCAGCGAATGGACTTCAACTCAAAAGCTTGGGCTCAAAAGGATCCAACTCAGAAGCTTTTCTGACCCTACTGCCCCTACACAATTTGATTGGTTGCAAAAATAGCTCAATTTGCTATTCTAAAAACTTCGTTCCGTGCCCCTCAAATATCCTTTCCGGTTCATAAGCCGCATCTTATACAGGGTGTCCCAAAAAAGCGCACACTGTTTTTCGATGGTTAGTGACTCGCTTGCTTCGATGTCTCTCGCCGATCCTAGGTACCAATCTGTAGAGCGAGGTTCAACTCTTACAGCCTGAACCTCTCTTCAAAGTTCCTACCGTAATTCTACAGTGGCAAATGAGATCGGAGTTTCGCTTCAAATTCTAGTCTAAGTTGAACCTCACTGCAGAATGGTACCTAAAGATCGGCGTAAGACATCGAAGCAAGCGAGCTATTGATAATCAAACAAAACGCACATTTTTTGGGACACCCTGTATAAGATGCACCCGCCGCAGCAAACAATGGTCCCTTTTGAAAGAGTGCTTTGAAATCTAGCCAGCTGATGAATCAGTGTGGGTTTTTATGCGTTTTCTTTCCTCGATAACACTATAAAGTTAATGGTGCTTCCTTTTGCTTTTGATGGTGTTCCTAGAGGTGAAGTTGTGCCTTTCGATTTCAATGATACTGCTCGTTCAACGGTGCTTCCAATGTTCTGCAGATTTCTGGAGAATATTTGACAAAATAGAGGTTTTTAATCTGAGTATATCACAACAGACAAGGGATGCTCACGGACTCCAAGTGACCTTTCGAACGAAATGTATATAGGTTTGTGGGTCCTGGCTCGCAATTTACAAAACAGCGTTCCATATCAGGCAAGCGGTCCTCTGGGTGGAAAACAGCGGGACAGGAGCCCCCACCTTGTAAAGCTCTTGCCCAAGTGGTACTGCACCACCTTGCTTCGATGCGGCGACCGGAACGCCCCGGCGACCTCCCCCCCCCCCTCCCTCCCCCTCGCTTCAATCTACATCTTGGCCAGAAGGCAGCTTGGCTGGGACGCTGTTTTGTAAGTTGCGTGCCAGGACCTACAAACCTATATACATCTCCTTGGAAAAGCCACTTCGATTCCGCACGCTTCCCTTGTGAGAAGAAAACAACAAAGAACGAAAGTAAAGGCTACGAAGGCCACTAAGTGAAAAAAAATAGTAGGCTGCGTTTGTTTTCATCGCGCCAGCCTCTGCACGCGATGAAAACAAATGCGACTTTTAAATCGGAAAGATTATTATCAACCACCAGAGAAGCAGTGCTCGGTAAGCCCATTGTATGAGGCTACAAGACATTCAAATAATAATACCGTTACAATGAAACAGATCAGGCCAACTTTTCTTTCGTGTACACGACATAACTTATTTCATGAGCTAACCTTCTTGCTGAGCAGACGCTTCTATTGTGGTTTTTTGGCCATATTCGTGCACCAAGCCATCTTTTCAGAACTTTTGAAGGTGTGAGCCCAAAGTGCGATGTTGAAGCTCTCCGTTGTTTCAATAATCGACAGAGTTTGAGGTGTAATTTTTTCGTGAAGCTCCTCTGTGGTGGAGTTGACTCTTCTACCTTCTGCGCAAGAATTGAGAGTTCAAAGCACTGGACCTCGCTCTTTACATAACAAAACGGCCACTCTATGACTGCATCCATATTATCGAGGGTTATCTCCGAAAAGTGAGAATGCAAGACTCAAAAAACTGCTGAGCATTTGCGCATTTGCGCAATTACACCTCAAACTCTGCGTTTCTGTTTGATGTTTTTTCGTGTAGAAACAAACTCATAAAATAAGGCATCACTGATCAGAACATCATAAGTTACTTACTAATGCTCATTATTTGTCGTCATCTCTTGTAAAGTGTGTTCATCTAACTTTATTGTTTCCTTTTTGGTAAATGCCCTCTTAAGAACTTCAAACGCTTGTTTTTTCTACTAGCGTTCAACTAGAATTTGGGCAAATTCGATGTTTTCCTAGATGAGAAGATGCGATATATAAGTCCCCGCAAAACCATCTGTGTGCTAGATTTCAAGCGTCTTCGATTTCTTGTCAATGGCGTCTTACAAGCTCATTTTGATAACCCTGCTCGCTCTCATGTTTATCTGCAGCACGTCTGGTAAGTTGCTGACATTACTTTGCCAGTGCCCTTTATAAAAGCACCTTTCAACAGTGCAAGCAATGAGGCGCCATGGAGGAAGAATAAACCATCGTCCAGGACCCCACCGTCCAGGACCTCACCGTCCAGGACCTCATCGTCCAGGACCACATCGTCCAGGACCAGGACATCATTCAGGGCGTGGACGCGGACGCGGGCGCTTTCATCGTTTCTAAGTAAAGCACCTAATCTTGGGAACACACTGGAATTTGTTATATGAGCATTATATGAATAAATGCAAATTATGAAAAATGCGTAATTTGTAGCAATTTTACATCTGTATGTACCCCTGTGTCCTAATGCAGAAAAGTTTCGCTTTCTATTAGGTGTAAACCAGTGTAAACGTCCAGTGCGCGGTCACCGTTTCTAATCAAAGTATCTGATCATGTACAAGTATTAGCAGTTTGGTTGCATGAGCTTTCTTCAAATAAATGCAAGTTACTACCAATTTCGCATCGGCGTCTGCTCTCTGCGGCTTCATGCAAATCCTCCCTTTTTATTGAGGCAAACCAAAAATGTCAACTGGTTCTATCGATTTGCCGAATTCCCGAAATGCTGCAGGAAAGCAGAAGCTGTCATAACATTTACAAGCTTACGAGGTACATTTGTAGCATTTGTACCCTTCACCTCACTAATTGCAATAGCTTTAGGACAGATATCATAGTGCATAGAATAAGTAGTCGAAGTATCGCAAAGCAGCCATAGGCTAATCTTCGAGTAATGGAAAGGCTATTAGGCGTTTGCGGAACGGACATACGCGGTTAACATCATCACAATTTGTGAGTGTTCTTTCAAAAGTATAATTGAGCAATGAGCGAACTCAGAGACAGATCAGCAAGAAAGTTCTGAATGTAATGCTATAACAGCGCAACGTCGTTTTTTGCCCTATTCGCTTCTGGCTTTTAGAAACCAAAAGGCAAAAACAATCTATAGATACAGATACCGCAAATACCACAAACCATACTGCAAATAGTTGATTTTAGAGTTTAAATGTCCTTTCAATGAAGGAGGCAGATTTGCCAGTAAATGAGAAGAAGGAAAACTTTTGTTTACATAAAGCACCTCACGTCCGTAAAGGAGACTATCTATTGGACAAGCTAATCACGAAACGTACGACTATGCTAAGTGAGATGCAAATCAAGGAAGAATAAAAGAAAACAATATCCCTCAACTCAAGTTGATCTAGCCACCGGTCCAATTAAAACCGAATCGAACATATTGCAGTGGTCTTCTCAAACAGGAATATCCATTCTAACCGACGGATGAACAACATTTTGATGCAATAGTAGAATCCCTTCTTTTCTCAATTTGTTTAGCATCTTTACAACGGGAGTGGTGATATAGGGGCGAAAATTTGGTGCAGATTTGCTAAATTCACGCTTTGATATAACACTATCAACAAAGCCAACTCTTAAAGGCAGCGTACACCCAAAACAAATGCAACAGATGTTGCAACAGCAACTGCAACTGCAATTGCAGCTCACGCTGTTATGGATTCGTTCGGAGGAGGCGGAGCGAAAGAAAAGGGGCGGCGTGAAAGAAAATTGAGGAGGGTTTTCTCCGCTCAGAAGCAACATTGGGAAACCGGACCAACGCAGTTGGTCTTCTTCTGGGCCCAGTATATACACGGTGTAGAAAAATCTAGAAAATTAGGCAACTTAGATTTTGGGTGTACGCTGCCTTTAACCTTTGGTACCTCTTCCAGTAGCAAAGACGCACTGTACATAAGAATCAAAGAATATGTCAGCGGTTCGCACATTCACAGACAATCAGCGAAGTTTGTCGTCTACGGTTGGTGCATCTTTCGACTATCTAGAGAATTCCAAAATTTGCATAGATTCCACGTTTTTTGCAAGGCACATTTTTTTCACATGATTAGCCCAAAGAAGGCAAAAGAATTAGTGACCCAAAAATCCTTTACCGTGTAGCGCATTACCTAAGAGGATCGACGGCATAGCGATTGTTTCGTAAAACACAACCAAGCTGCTGAGCTGCGGAGAAAAACGGAGAAGGTGCTCCTTGTATTCGTAAAATTAGGGTAGTACGATCAAGGAAAAATTCGTTTGTGTCCTGAGTGCCCATTAAGGGAAGTAGCAAAATAATTAATAACTCGAACTCTTTACCCATCATGCCTACAAATGGTCCACGGTTGTCCATTAACCCAACAGTGCCGAAATAGAATCTCCCTACAACTTCAAGACGGTTTCATCAAGTTTATAGAAAGGTGGACGATTTTGGAGGCGAGGAGGGATTTCCTGCGCATCCCAAGGGGATCATACAAAACAGTGAAATTCCGGGCTGGTGTGGCAGTTTCTGCATTCGTTATGCTCAAGTATCAGGAATGAAAAACTTTATAAGGTAGATAGAAAAAGAAGTATAGGATGTCTGCAACGAAATATGACAAGATATCCCTTTTCAGCTCCCTCATCTCCTCAGCACAGGAATGTATGTGCATACGGGCCTTAGGCACCAACATTCCTGCGGCAAGGGAAGCGGTGTCCTCAACAATGAAGAAGCCGGAGTTTCCACGCGCGGTCCCTTGATAATGGAGAACCCGTTCCTTTGCCGCAAGGATGTTAGCGCATACGGACCTAAGACTGGATCTAAAAAGATGTCCTTCACAATTTTCCAGGTATTTCTTAGGCCCGTATGCACGTACATCCCCGCGGGGAGGGGAGGGGATCTGAAAGGGGAAGCGTCATATCTCACTGCACTAGATATCTTTCTTCTTTCTTCTCTATCGTGTTTATGAGGGTTCTCGTACCCTTATACCTGCGCATAATAGATGCCAGGTTACTGCTATACAAGATTAAATTTTCACTATTTCTTCCGATCCCCTGGGGATCCCCAGGGGATCATCTCACATTTTCAAAGTCGTTTATCTTCCTGAAAAACGAATAAAAACGCTGCAAAATTGTACTGAAGATATACTACGATACTGCTGAGCATGTTTCCGACAGAAGAAATTGAATCTGAAGATTTTGATTTTTTCGATAATCCCTGGCTCGCGAGCAGCGGTTCATCGAAAATTTTGATATCTTGAGATTTCACTCACTTCTACCATAAATATGTTTAGCAGTGCTGTAGTATATCCACAGTACAATTTTAGAACATTTTCATCGAGTTTTCAGAAAGATAAATAACTTTGAAAATGTGAGGTGATCCCCTGGGGATCCCCAGGGAATCTTACGAAATAGTGAATATCTAATCCTGTATGGCAGTAACCTGGCATCCGTTATGCGCAAGTATCAGGTATTAGAACCTTCAAAACCGAGACAGAGAAAGAAGAAGAAAGATACATAGACTAGCGAGATATGATGCTTCCCCTCTCAGATCCCCTCCCCTCCCCGCGGGGATGTACGTGCATACGGGCCTTAGTGTGATGGTTCACATCCTTACATTCCCTAAGTAAGGCATCATAGAGAGGTTTATGTGATTATGATTAAAGAAAATGAGGTTCTGCCCAATATAGTTTTGTTGTAAAACGAAAAACTATGAAACGACATTTGGAGAAAAGTAGATGTATGGTCTTACAAAAGCTTTTCAAAGGGCTTCGACGATTTCGTGGTTATTAAAGATTGAAGTTCTAAGTTTTTTCGACAGACACTTTTTGGATTTTTTGCGAAAATCTCGGTATGGAATAAAACCGCTCTTACTTGCACTAAAATCTGGTACAAGCTCAATCCTATTGTGGTTTGCAGTGCTGAAAGGCGAACATCAATATTTTGAAACAAGTCATAAGAAGTATCAGATTGAAGGCTACTTCTCCTTTGCCTGAAAAGTTCACGTGTTGTTGAAGATCGCAGAGATACAAAGAGGAAGGGAAAATGTCGTCGGCAAGAATTGGGAGCAAGAAATCAATATTTAGCCCAAAATGTAGTCTATATTGAAAGTGAACACAATCTCGGTGACACTTGATAGCAATGGAATTGCGGGACGGGGTACGATATGCAGTAGTGGTTAGCAAAGGCGGCAGAAAAGATGATGGTCACATGAAGCAGAAGGTATCCCTTTTGTAATCACTGGAAACGCATTATTATCCACATATTCTCTCATCTGCAAAAGCATACTTAACCATACAACCTGTATGGTTAAGTATGTACGCATTGATTTGTGCGATAAAGGGTTCAATATGGAAGGTCGGCGATAATTGTGAAATCAGCAATCTTGAAACTTAACCACTTGGTAGTCCAAGAAACATCGGGCATTTTGAAAACTAAAAAGCTTGTAAAAGATGAAATTCCGTAACTACGCGCAATTATGAGACATTTTTTCTGTTTCTTTTTCCTTGAATCATACTCCTCTCGCTCAGAGACGTTCAGTTGATCTCTATATTTATGTTCCGCAGATCACAATGCCGCAGGTGGGAGCTAGATAGCGCTTAAATCAAGAAACTGCAAGAAAGGGGAGCAGTTTTGACTAATCTCGATTCATACCCATCAAATTTGCTCATGCGAAACACTTCTATGGTTTAGAGTTGATTAACATGATAACATGATAATAACATTCGAGTCGGGCTTCGTTATCACTATCATAAAGCTGCTATAGCGCGCAGAGCATTGACAACAACCTCCACTTTTTGGTTCGGAAATTTCAGCTGCATTTTGTTGAAACTGTAACAATGTGTGCTACTAATATACTGGAACACTCTTGAATTCTTAAATTCAATTACCGGCGCACTAGAGATCGTTGCTTGTTAGAAAGATTTCGAGAAAATTGCTGATATGCAAGGATTAATATTATATAAGGTGAATGCCTGTTTGTCTGTCTGTGTGTGTACGTATGTGCGGAGTAGAAATTTTCATTTCTGAACCGATTTGGACCAAACTTGGCAAACATATACTTCAGGGCAGAGAGCGTGTCGTAGTCTACTTTTCGTTATCGATTGATATCGAATCCGCTTATCGGTTTTTTGCAAAGTTCAAGCCACTGGGCTAGGAGTTGGCATAGGGTGGAGGGTAATGTGAGCACGCTGATTACGAATACAATGTCAGTTTTTAGAATTATCTGCCACTTCTATCGACTTTATCGGGGCTAGGAGTGGCAGGGGAAAGGGGGGTAAGAGCATGCTGATTACTAACACAAGGACCAGGGAATTGGCTTGTAGAAGTTGGCACAGGGAAAGGTTGTACAGGGACAGGCATGGGACTTTTATCATGGTGTTTTGACAGAGCCGGGCGGAGTCGAGTAAGCCAGCTAAGTGGCTCATAAGAACAAGTCAGATGCAAGTCGCTGAATAAAACGTGTGTTAGGAAGGGGAAGAAAAGAATGGTGATGTACACAGGATGTCAAAAGTGTGGACACATTTGTGGCTTTGAATTGGTTTGTGTTGAATGGAGTAAGTTCCTCATGTTGATTTGAAATATATGGCATTCCTCAGCTATTTCGTGGTTTAGGACTCGTTAATTTTGTGCGCTCATGAAGCCTATGTTCACCGC